TGGCTTTCATGATAAAACCCTTCACTAATACATGCATCACGCTGGTTTAGCAGATTTTATTCTCAAAGCTCTCCACAAATGTGCATCTGAAGTTGACAAAGTAGACCCTGCTGTAAATTAAGGGAATAGCTCATTCAAAAATAAATATTCTTAAACCATTTACTCAAGCATTATTCAAGTGTCTTATTTGCTGACTTGTTTTAATAATTACTTAACAATTTACACATCTCTAATTCTAACCAATACCTAAACCCAACTACTACTGTACTAACCGTTAATACACAGCAAATTAATACTTTATTGAGCTAAAAGGCTTATTTAATAGTTTGTTAAAGGTGAGAGTTGTACCTTAAAGGCGCAGCTGTTCAGACTGACACCGACACAAGAAATTATGGCGTTAATTTGTTAATTTATTGATGGCAGTAAAAAACTGAATTATTTATGCCAATTATTTATAACTGTACAACCGTACAAGCTAAAAATTAACATTTATTTTTTATATCTTTTTTTATCAACAGTGTGCAGCTTTTGTCACTGCAGTGTATCTTTACTACTAAAGACGTTTGAGAGCTAAAGTGGCAGTGTGCCCATTTTTTTTAATCTTTTGCTACTGTTTATTTTTGATCGAGCACCTGCCTTTGAGATTTTTTTGATGTGTGCACATTTCTATTTTTGTTTGCTAATTAATAATCTCATGTAGAACTCTGAATCTGCGTCTCATTTTGGAGCCTGCTACTGTCCACCAGAGGTCACATTTCAGTCACGGACGCATGCTTTGAGAGCCTTCCTGACTGAATGAATGAAATGCATGGTTTTCCACCAAGGCAACCCGGGCTGCTGAAATATAATTGTCTTAACTGGCATTGGATGGGTTAAAATGACCAAAACAAAGACATAATTCCAGCACGTAACGGACATTTTCAAAGCAGAATAACTTGGTTATCCTGTTTTTTAAGGTCACGCCACAGTATCTCAATTGGATTCAGGTCAGGACTTTGACAAGGCCAGTCTAAAGTCTTCATTTTGTTTTTCTTCAGCCATTCAGATGTGTACTTATGTAGCTTTGGATTTTCTTTTCTCTTACTAATAAAAACTTTTATTTTATACTTGCACAATGGCTTTACTTGTGTTATCTCTGACTAATATTTAATGTTTAAATTGGTTTGATTATATGAGAAAAAAAGACTCTGTACACTTATTCACACCACTGTAGTATTTAAATATGATTAAATAGGTAATTATTGTACTTTTGGTTTAATATTATTATAAAACCAAGTAAATTGAAAAATCTATTTTAAACAAATCAGGTATTTGTAGTGAAGCTCCAACTAAAAATTCTTTTCTCTTATCATACATGTACACAATTAGGCAAACATCAAATACAGTCAGATTTTTCTTTCTTCCTCTCAGCCTGCAGGCAGAGATGCTTATTGTTTCATGACAGGCTTTCATAACATTTGACGACATCTGAAGATGACATTGAAAAGTAGGCTGCATGTATGATGATTTCAGGCAGCTATTTTAGTCAGTATATACTTGAGACTGAGATCTTCAGAGATCTTTTTATGGCTATTTTGTTAACATGAGTGTTTGTGTCATCTCTTTGTGAAGGCTCAGAAATGAGTGTTTCTCTTTGTACCTGTGCGTGATCTGCCCATAAATGATGTGGAGAGTTGTTAGTTTATGCCAGAAAAGGTGCTGCTTCCTCACAGTGAATGAGCTTTAATCTGCTTGGAGTGGGCTTTAAAACACTCAGATCCTCACGCTGATCATGCTGAAGGTCACAGTGAGCCACAGACTGAGCTTCAGTCTTGGCATATTCAGACATGCAGTGTTGCTAAAGAAGGATGAACAGATTCAGTGTTTTCCATTACTGATTTATTCTTTTTTTGCTAATGTTTACTTCCCTTTTTACTTCTTTTTATATTCTTTTGTTCTGTTTTTGTTTTGTTCTATAATTTTTTTTTACTTGTTACCATTTTTAAATTTTTCTTCCTCCTCCCCTCCCTTTTTTTCTTCCTTATGGTCCTAGTTTTTTTTTTCTCCTTTTAAATACGTTTAACTTGTTATAATTTTTTTCTTCCTTCCTTCCTTCCTTCCTTCCTTCCTTCCTTCCTTCCTTCCTTCCTTCCTTCCTTCCTTCCTTATTATCCGTGTTCTTCATCTCTTTTTCAATATATTTTTAAACATTTTACCATTTTTATATCCTTCCTCTTGTTTTCCCTCCCTTTCTTCCTTTCATTCTTCCTTCATTACTTTATTATTTCCTGTTCTATTTTTCTCCTTTTCAACTTCATTTTTCAACTTTGTTTTTAACGTGTTCCCATTTTTGCCTTTTTTGATTTCCTTCATTTTTTCTTCCTTTTTCCTTCGTTCCTGCCTTATTTTCTGTGTTCTTTCTTTCTCCTTTTCAATACATTTAACTTAACACTTTTAGATTTTCTTTCCTTCCCTAATTTCTGTGTTCTTTTTCTCTTTTTCATTTTTTATTCTTTCTTTCTTTATTGTCTCTGTTTTTCTTTTTAAGATTTTTTAAAACTTATAATTTTTCGATTTTCCTTTTTCCTACCCGCCCCAATTTTCATCATTAGCTGTGTTTGTTCTTTCTTCCTTCTCCTTTCCTGTGTACTTTGTAATTCCTTCCTTCTTTTCTATTTCTTTCCTTCTCTCTCTCTCTCTCTCTCTCTCTCTCTCTCTCTCTCTCTCTCTCTCTCTCTCTCTCTCTCTCTCTCTCTCTCTCTCTCTCTCTCTCTCTCTCTCTCTCTCTATATATATATATATATATATATATATATATTAGGGATGTAACGGTATCAGAATTTCATGATACGGTAATACCTCGGTATCAATGTCACGGTACGGTATTTATTGAATCATTTACAGGAAAAAACAAAACTTATGAAAATACTCCAAAAAAGTGCCAAAAGTGTCAATGACATACAAATTAGTCATCTATCTGTAAGCTTTGAAACAGGAACTTCAATTTTAATAACAAAAAATTATTAAACCATGTAAAAAAATAAAGTTTCAATTTAGTATTGTTGAAAACTCATCACATTCAACATTTAATCACTCACTCACTTAGATAGAGATGGGTTTTAAGGAAAATTATCATATAAATATAATCTGGTAAAAGCTGTTATCTCTGGGCATTTACAATGTCCCCTGCAACAGAAAAAACCCCTCTCATTTGGGACTGAGGTTTCTGGGACAGAGAGATATGACTTGGCCCAGGTTGACAGCAGTGGTTAACGTTGTGCATTGTCTTTTCCCCACTTGAGAGGACAAGGCAAGCCATGAGATAGATAGAGGTCTCATGTCTGTATCAATCTGAACAGTGTGCTGTGTCACACCCTCTGTCCCGCCCTTCAGTAGGCGCGCGACAACACAGCTGATCAGAACGCGCCCAACAACACCGCTATTCAGTATGCGCGCGACAACACAGCTGATCAGAACGCACGCGACAACACCGCTATTCAGTACGCGTGCGGCGACAACACCCGCTTCAGGTTCGATCATTTCCAGCTCTTTTTGATGCCCGCTTCTAGCAGCACACTCCATTTCCGCATTACTGTATCTGTAGCGACAACAGACCGCAAGGGCTGATGGGAATTGTAGTTTCCGCTACCTCCCGTTCGCTTCATTCGCCTGAGCAAATTTTCTCAGAAGACCTATAGTTTTACCGAGTCATGCGACTACGGTAATATCGAAAAAAATGAATATTGTGGTATGACGGTATTTACAATACCGTTACATCCCTAATATATATATATATATATATATATATATATATATATATATATATATATATATATATATATATATACACACACACACACACACACACACACACACACACACACGCGCACACACACACACGCGAACACACGCGCGCGCACACACACACACACACACACACACACACACAGTTGAAGTCAAAATTATTAGCCCCCCTGAATTATTAGACCGCTTGTTTAGTTTTTACCCAATTTCTGTTAAATGGAGAGAAGATTTTTTTTTCAACACATTTCTAAACATAATAGTTTTAATAACTCATCTCTAATAACTGTTTTCTTTTATCTTTACCATGATGACTGTAAAAAAAAAATTTGACTAGATATTTTTCAAGACACTTCCATACAGCTTAAAGTGACATTTAAAGGCTTAACTGGGTTAATTAAGTTAACTAGGCAGGTTAGAGTAATTTTGCAAGTTATTGTATAATTATGGTTTGTTCTGTATATTATCAAGAAAAAATATAGCTTAAAGGGGCTAAAAATTTTGTTTTTAAAAATATTTATTTTTATTCTAGCCACAATAAAACAAATTATCAGACATACTGTAAAAATGTCTTGCTCTGTTAAACATCCTTTGTAAAATATTTAAAAAAAGAAAAAAATTCTCACTTCAACTGTGTGTATATATGCATGTATATATGTATGTATATATATATTTATTTATTTATTTTTTTTTACTTGATTTGTTTTCTGCCTTTTTCCCCTCATTTGTTCTTTCCGTTTGTTGTTCAGTCTTAGTTTTCGTCCTCTAACCTTTTTTTCCATCTATCTTTTTTTTTTCTTTTCCTTGACTTTGTTCATCATTCTTCCTTCCTGGATTTCTTTCTTCATGTTTCCTCCCTTCTCTCTTTCTTTTCCTTCTTAGTTTCTCTTCCATATTCTTCCATCTCTCCCCACCCTTTTACATTGTTCTTCGTTTATTTAACCTTTCTCCCATCCTTCCTTCATTATTCCTCCATTGGTCTTCCTTTTTCCTCATTCTCCATTCCTTCTCCCAAGCAGTTTCTCCGTGGGAATTCAATCCAGTCATATCCTAGAAACAGATATAGGCGATAGATATGTTTATTTCTTTACAGTGCAACCATGTGGAAGTCAGAATTATTCTACATTCAAAGACGTGCTATGCATTCTATGACCATTTTATGTGAATGTTGAATTGTAAATGCTGCCTTCTAAACACTGCTCCCTCCTCTGTTTCTCTAGTGTGTAAATGTGACGAGCTGTTCAGCAGTAATGCACACAGAAACCTGGCCATTCAGTTCCACCTGGAGTGCAGTTATATCTGCCTGACCTACTATGAGTATCACAAGGCCAAAGAACATCTGCAGACGGCTCGTGATCTGTCAGGACTCGATGTTAACATGACAGGTAGGCAGTATAACTTGAAGAAAAATGATTGTACTTTGCTGATGGATAAATGGTGGTTCATAGCGAAAGTAATTGACATATGCAATGAATGAATGAGGGATGTATTACCCTGCAGTGCGAATGAGGAAACACTGATGTAATGCATTAAGGATTAAATAATTTTCTGATTTTTCTCTCAGGTGCTCTAGGGAAGCGAACTCGTTTTCAGGAGAACTTTTTGGCTCAGCTCATCTTAGATGTAAAGCGAAAGGACAACTCGCCCTTTTACAACTCAGAGAGTCCCTCCAGTACACCAACACCTAAAGAGCTCCTACCAAAGGTACACAGAGAGTTAAAACTAATTTTAATTATATACAATTAAAATGTGTGTGTGGATGTTTCCCAGAGATGGGTTGCGGCTGGAAGGGCATCCGCTGCGTAAAAACTTGCTGGATAAGTTGGCGGTTCATTCCGCTGTGGTGAGCCCAGATTAATAAAGGGACTAAGCCGACAAGAAAATGAATGAATGAATGAAAATGACCAAAATGTAACGTGATAATTGAAAATCATTGGAGGGGAAATAAATAATATATTTAAAATCTCTGAACATAACAAGAAAATTAAACAATGATAAGGTTACTATAATAGTGTATTTATAGTGGCAGAAATAGGGCACTTTCTCTAATAATAAAAATATAGCACTTAAATCATTTCATTTTTAACAATCAATTAAATTACGCTGCGGTTTTATATAAAAAGTTGATAATGATATAAAATATACAAAATTTTGATGGTAAAATATAACCCTTTAACCAATGGCTGTTATTTGTTTCAGTATTCAAACATCAAATAACGAATGCAGCAATTGAAATAAAAAACAAATGTGAAGCAACACATATATAGCAGGAAATGAAGCTAAAAAGGACTATTATATTTTTGCAAAATGCTGATTTTCTATCTTTGTATTTTTATCATTTTATTTTTGTTATTTTAATTTTTTTTGCCTTAATAATAAACCAACAAGCTACAGATAAATTCCTGCTTGACTATTTAGAATATATTTTGCGCAGCTGCCCAGTATAAAGATCACCGAGAACAAGAAAACGATAATACAGAAACATGTTACATGCCCCTATAAATGTCAAACTTATGTATAACAGAATCACATAATGGCCCTTAGCTGAAATGATGAAAAAAGCTCATTTTATTTTTATAAATCATTTTTCAAAACCTAGTGATTTTTTTTTTGAGTAAAAGCAATACCGACATTTAAGAATCCACATTTATTTAATTAATTCATTTATTTTACTAGTTTATTGGTGTTTATATAGACTATAATATAAATCATACAAGTACCTTGGACAGCTACAGTGCCACTCCGTAAAGCTTTCAAGCAAAGTCCAAAAACAATTAAAGAAAGAGTTGTCTTTCTACCGAAGATGTGGACGGCGACATTACAAGAGGTCGTAACCGTCCTTCGTTGTATCGCTGGTATTAAATTAACAAGCCGTCTGGGCTTTGAATTAAAAAGTGCAGTTATTTTCTCGTTGTACAAAGAGTCTACAAGTTCGTGTATTTCATGGATTGAGCGATGTTGTTTTGGAATTTGGACATCGATGATGTTAAGTGTGTCTTTATTCGCTTTACTCAATGTGCAGCAGAAAAAAAAGCCTTTCAGCGGTGCATGTAGTCGCTGGTAAAGTTCTCTCAGAGTTTTGTGCTATCAAATACAGTGCTGCATGCAATTACACACTCAGTCAGGCGAATTAAAGGTCTCATTGCCTAGGATTTCAATCAAATTAATCAAACTCTAGCCATAAATAAATCAATAGGCTAGTTTGTTTTAAGATTATAGATGTTGTAGTAATTATATCATGGTTAATTGTATTCATGTCAATAAAATAATAACTTTAATAAATAAAAGATCTTCGTAAGAATGTGATGAGTTAATCACTTCTCTGCCAGAGAGTGCTCTATAGTTTTAAAACCCCCTACAAACTGTATCGTTTAGACCTGGATCATTTTTTATATTGAATGTAGTGTTCTTTACTTGTGGATGTCTGATGACTAGCGTGCTTCCGCTGAGCCAGCAGTGGTAGCTTGGCAACAGAGCCGCGACGTGAGCACACAGAATCTGTCAGCACAGTTCAGCACGGTTGTCTAACCATGCCGAGAATTCCAGGCTGAGAACGTTTGTAATCGTGCCGTGCCGTTCCAGGCTTAGTGGAGAAACAACCGTTACCGTACCGAAGTGTTCTTAGAACAGTTTAGCATGATAGGGGAAAAGCGGCTATAGATTCGTTTTTTAACTCAAACGGTTTGAAGCAATGGGTTTCCACAAACGGTTTGAGTTGCCGTAACTTATTAGGTTTTACTGTACTCAGTTGGTTTGAGTGTTCATAATTTATCAAGTTTTGCTGTGCTTAAATTGCTTCATTTACTCAAATGGAGTAAGTTCACAGTACTCATTAGGAATAGTTTTTGAACTTGACAAACGGTTTGAGTTACCCTAACTTTTTAGGTTTTACAATGTATGATTCAAATGTTATTTGAATTACTTGCAACTCATACAGGAGTAATTTGCACTAAACATTTTTATTTACTTATTTTGCTGTGTTTTTTATTTATTTCTTAGCTGTCAATAACTTACAAAGGTCAACCTCTGCTATCATTTGGCTTTTCTATTTAATCAGTTGGGAGTGTGTTTGCATAAATGCCTTTCTCAGTCCCTAAAGGGGCATAAAGGATGCTGTACTCATCCCAGCCATCAGGGGGCAGCATTTATTCTTGTGCTGACATTAGACATGACATTGAGCTGCAGTGAAGGTCGTGAAAAATATATTTTATGCAGATTTCCATCTGTCCCATTCTTTCCCGTTCTTTCTCCCTCTGTCTCTCTCCTCTCACCCCGAGGCAGTGCTTTACTTATATTGCACATTTTTTGGATGGTGGTTAAGTTTTATCTTGTGTTTGGCTGATCTGTGCACTGGCACTGCTGTGTCTGGTATTATCAGCTTTGGCCGCAAATATGACAAATTGGGGACAGACAAAGATTTTTACGGAAAATTCCAGGACCTTATCTCTGTTTCCCCTTAGCCGGCCTGGTTTTATGTGTTGTGGCCCTAAAAAGTCCATTAAATCATTTTTTCCAGAATGCCTTGCGTTTTTGGATTAAATTTGATAGGATCAGTATTGCTTACAAACTCTTGAGCTGATAGCACTCCAGCGGGTCTCGGTTCTCGCTTGTCTGCGTGTGAAGGCTTTTCAGGTAGAGCGTACGTGCGCGAGGGCCGTCAGACTTCATTTCATGGGAATCAAATTTGAATGTCAACAAATTAGATTTGATTTGGGCTAAAGCAGAGGAACATGTTCATTTGGCGCTCCGTCTCGGCTAATAAGTGTAAATGCTGAGTGTGATTGATTTCTTGATGCGTGAGCTAGCATAATGTTGCTCATTTGAGGAAATATTTCAGGATTGGATTTGTTTTATGAAAGTTGTGCAATGTGAAGTTCAATGAGATGATGCAACATTCTTGATGCAAATCCTTGAAATTATTTAAGATTTACATTTTTAATGTATAAAGCTAGACCATTGTATCATCTTTGGATTAAATTACAAAAGAAAATGCTGTTTGTAATGCAGTGTCTATGGATGAGACAGGAAGCTGCTGCGTCAAAATTACATTGTCCTTCTTCTGACTGACATTATAAGTCTCACGCATTTTTTTCTGTTTTAAATTTGTGAAAACACTACTTTGAAGGTTTTTTATTTAAGCAAATTAGAGTGTAAAATGAGCGATACAGATGCTCCGTGGTTAGCACTGTCACCTCACAGCAAGAAGGTTGCTGGTTTTCCAGCTGGGTCTGTTGACATTTGTGTCGAGTTTGCATGTTCTTCCCTTGTTTGCGTGGGTTTCCCCCACAGTCCAAAGACATCCGCTATAGGTGAATTGAATCAGTTAAACTGCCTGTAGTGTATGTATATACATGTAAGAGTGTATGGATGTTTTCCAGCACTGGGTTGCAGCTGGAAGGCCATCCGCTGTAATATATGCTGGATAAGTTGGCAGTTCATTCCGCTTTAAAGACCCCTATGAATAAAATGACTAAGCCTAAGGAAAATAAATGAATGTAAAATAAAATATTAGCGGTACTCTCCCATTCACTACTTTAAGTTTACCCTAATACGCTGCAGAGGAACCCATAATTGTAAAAAGGGTCTATAATCACCAAATATATCAAGCTGCCATGTCTGAATTAAATTCTAATTTAATATTTAATTGTAAAAATGTTGTATATTGTATTTTTATATTGTTCGCTGTATTATCATTCAAGTATGATCTGCGTTTGTTAAACTCTAGCATTTTTTAGCTTTGTTTTTTGTTTTTTCTTCTCATGCATCTTTGTGTTTATAGGACCATCAGCTGAGCGACGATACAGTCCTAAACCAGATTAATCTTGCAGAACCATCTGAGCATGAACTTCCAGACCTAAGCGCTGAGGAGCAAGCCTTCATACTGGCCACATGGTGAGTTTCTCGATTTATTTTGTATGGGGTTTAAAAAAAAAAAAGTCTATATTCTGTAAAACAAGTTGCATCTCTTTTGCTTCAGCCTTTGTATGTGTTCTGGTTAATTGGATTAAAAGGAGACAACACGTTGTTCACCCCTGCTGTTTTAATCTATTTTTTGATGACTTTGAAGTGACAGGTCTGTAAAGTGACAGCTATTGACAATTGAGCAATAATTGCGTCTTGGCTGATTTTTGACTTCAAATGGTTTCATTCAGATTGAAATGCAGTAGTGATTACTGCACAGAAGTGGCCTCTAAAAATGCTGTCGCTTGCAGTTGCAATTTTTGCCTGTACCTGCAATTCACCAGACAGTAATTTGAATCAATCTTGTTCATGGCCACTTCCACTCACATCATCCACAGATGAATGCCCACAGTGCTATAAAGTGCTAGTACTGTATAGTAGATTAGTACTGTAGTTATTTTGAGTAAGTTTAAAGGCATATTTCATCCCAAAATGAAAAATTTCATCTGTCATTTATTCAATCATCACTTGTCACCAGTGTTGTGCTAGTTACTGAAAAATAGTAACTAGTTACAGTTACTACTTACTTCATTCAATATATAACCCAGTTACTTTATCCATTACTTACACCAAGAAGTAATGCGTTACTGTTAAAAGCCATTTGAGTTACTTTTCCATAGAACATTTTAAGGCTCCTATTAATGCCCTTATAACATCACTTCAGTTCACAGATTAAACATGGTTTGTCAGCAACTTATGGAAAGTAAGCTGTGTGTATTCAAAGTGCAAAATCTGCTGATGTATAACAGCTATTTAGTGGTTGGCATTCACCAATCCCGCAATGCGTCGCCACTGTAAACAGGATGATGGAGGCAAGAGTGCAGCCAAAATTCTTTAATTTGCCAAATAATAGACAAATGCATCATATTGTAATGGTAACTGAGTTAATATATTAAAAAATTAATGAGTTCAGTATTAGTTACTTTCAAAAGTAATACCGCTATCGTAACGCATTACTGCTTGTCACAATCTTGAGTTTCCTTTTTCTGCTAAACAGAAAAGAAGTTATTTTCTGTTGATATCCATAGTATTTTTCTTTCTCACTATTCATATAGATTGTTAAAGTTATTATTTTTATTTATTTATTTTTTAAATACATTTTTCAAAATATCTTTTGTGTTGAGCAGAAAAAAGGAATGTCATAAAAGTTTGGGACCACTTGGAGTGTGAATAAAGGGTGTGTAAATTCTTTTTTGGATAACCTAACTCTGTAATTGTCAATTTGTGTGGATGTATGCATTGATTGATTAATTGATTGTACCACGTCTAAAAAGGCAACAATGCAAAAACCTAACGCCTGTTTCACACCGCAAGCGTCAGCGGCGCGTGAGCAGAGTGTGAGCAGCGCATATGTCGAGCAGTAGCAGCACGCAGGCGTTTGCCTTTCACACCAGCTGCGTCTGCAGCGCGCAGCTCTTCGGCAGCTGCTGCAGAGATCAACCTATCTCTGTCTATTCTATCTAGTTACCCATGTCTCTCTATATACAAATACATCTTTTAAACTTTTCATCTGTCCAGCGGCAGAATAACAGCTCGTTAATTCATGCTCGTGCAGATGATGAGACGGACAAAAGTTACCAATGCATGCCATTCTTTTACTTATTTTTGTGTTGTCAGATTCACAGTGCAAACAGCTCCCGGTAGGAATAACTCGAGTAAACATAAAACAAAGCCGATTAAAACTTTCTTCCTCTGCTCAGCTGCACAGCACACAGCGAGCTCACATAATCCACTATGCGTGTCGAACTACACTACCCACAATTTACTTCGCTATGGACTACAAATCCCGTAAATATTCTATTCCCCCTCTCCTACAACACTAGTGTGCAACTTAAGCAAAACTGATACTAAAATTGTTTTACATTTGGTTTTGTAGTTCGGGCCTAAATAAATGTTTGTTGCCGTTTTTAATCAATTTAAGTTCATTTGAATGACTATATGTATACCATTTGACGTTATCAACGTATTTATTGGGTAAAATTGCTACTTTTTACTGTCATTCATTGTGTTTTGGTCATTATCAATGCACTGTCACTTTAATTGAGCGTGAGCAGCGCGTCAAAAATAGACCCAGCGCCGAAACTATCGCTGCACTGCTGCTTCGGCGACGCTCACGCCTCGCACTGACGCGCTGCTGCTGCGTGCGGTATGAAAGCTCTAATCTGGTGACATGGACGCCGAAAACACACGCGCTGCTCACGCTCTGCTCACGCGCCGCTGACGCTTGCGGTGTGAAACAGGTGTAAGACTAATGCAACAGCCGAATGTGCCTTAACACGAGCACAAACAAAGAAATATGAATATAGTAAAAGAGTAGACTTTTTATATACAAAAGCTGACTTGTACTTACTGGCAAAAATAGCATGAGCTACACTTTGTATATGGCACCACCACATCATTCCTTCAGTTAAAAATAGTTTTATTTAAATTTCAAGTGAATCCACATCTGATTTTGTTAGCCGCAAAGGATGTCGCTGCGAAAGTAAAAGTCTCACTTTTATGGATTTTCTAAATCTAGCAGAGGAATTGCACACACTGCCACTGTCAACAGTTAAATGAAACACACATCCTGGTTTTTCACTAGAAGCGTGAGCACATGTCTCTCGGCCTGTGACACTTTATTATAGACTGTTTTAAGAGTCTACCTCATGGATGCGATATTAAACATACTTCTGAAAATCAGCTTGTCAAAGCCCCGAGCCAGAACGTTTTACGAGTATGGCTTCAACAGGTCCTCTGGCTAAAATATGCCTCGGAAATCCAAGGAAAAATTGTCTCCTCTTTGTCTCCTAATCCTCGAGATTAGTTTTAGTAGCTGTAGTATTTTAGTTCCTGACTTTTAAAGCTGCAGCTCGGCATTAATCATGTTCGGGATGTGTAAATCTTTGTTATTGCACAGAGTCTTGTTTTATCTTGGTAAAATTAAAGTGCTGCGTCAGGCCTCTGTCTTGCAGAATATGTCCTTTTTTATGTGTGTGTGTGCCCAATAGTGCATTGACAGTGGTCTTCTCTGTCCTGGAACCGGAAAAAAAAAGTGTATGGTCATCCACCCCCATCTCTGCCCCGGTAGAGGATCAGGCTTCTTTTACACTGCTCTCTAATTAGCTTTTTAGCAGCCAGCGCTACTGTTTGTTGCAGAAAGGTCGTCATCCTGCCTGACTGGCTGCTAGGAGACAAATTGCAGGCGTGGAATAATTAGCAGGGCATAATTACGCAGGCCAGGGCCTTAATTGGGCTGCGTGATGGTTGAAGGTGAATTATGGGCCGTCGTTGTAGCAGTCAAGCAAAAACACACATACGATTTAATGGTGCTCTGCTGAAATGTGAACAGCCTGCTGTACATTTGTTATCCCCGGCTAACGTAAAGAACTGTGATGCAAAAGAGAAAGTTAGTCGGCTTGAGGAAAGTAGCTAAAGTTACGTAGAGCTGTGCTTATAATAATGCCATTGAATAATTGAAGTAGTGAGGGCTGAGATATTTTATATGTCTAAATGTGTAGCAGCTTATATTTTGACCTTTTGACAGTCTGACAAGTTGTATTAATGATTCTACTGCAATAGATTGGGGTGGATTTCACAAATCTCGTCCGGTTATCATACTTCAGCCATCCAAATTTAAAATATTGTACAATAAATATTGTACAATAAAAAATGAAGCTGGCATTTAAGTTATTTTCTGGGTTATAGTAATAAGCAATGAACAATGTCTATATAAAAAATGAGCAATTTTTAATTTTATTTTTTTATAAATAGAGCTATCCAAGCCATCTAGTGAAATAGTATCGCAGAAAAACAATGCCCGATTTTTCCAATATTGTTTAACCCTAATTTATAGTATAGCTTAGGTTTTTGGTTACGTTTAAAAACTCTTATTTAATCGAGGAATTGATATCTCTTTTCTGCTAAATATAACCTGGCATATAGACAATATACTCACTGGCCACTTTATTAGGTACACCTTACTAGTACAGGTTGGATCACTTTGTACTTTTAGAGCTGCCTTAATCCTTCATGGCATAGATTCAACAAAGTACTGAAGATATTCCTCAGAGATTTTATTCATATTGACATGATAGCATCACACAGTTGCTGTAGATTTGTCGGCTGCACATCCATGATTTAAATTTCACGTTCCACAGCATCCTAAAGGTGCTGTATTGGATTGAGATCTGCTGATTATGAAGGCCATTTGAGTAAACACTAGAGATGGTTGTGCGTGAAAGCCTCAGTAGATAAGTTTCTGAAATACTCAGACCAGCTCTTCTATCACCTACACCCATGCCACGTTCAAATTCACTTAAATCACCTTCCTTTGTCATACTGATGGTCAGTTTGAACTGCTGCAGATCGTCTTGACCATGTCTATATGCCTAAATGCATTGAGTTGCTGAGATGTGATTGGCTGATCAGAAATTTTGTTAATAAGCAGTTGTACAGGTGTACCTAATAAAGTGACTAAGTGAATGTGTATACGAATGGTAAATATATACTTGGATGAACATTCATTTCTGTTTGTGAAACATTTTTAATTACATAAATTAATGAGATTTTGTTAAGCAGTAGTAAAAATTAAATTTTTTCACATCAGAGAAGCCATAAAAAATATTTTTTTTTATTAACATATTTTGGGGTCAAAAGTGAGGCAATAATTTTGAATCCTTGTTTATTGTTCTCCTTGTTACATATCAAAATATACAATAGTGTTATGAAATGTTTGTTATTTATTTACTTTTTAATTCTATTAATAAGTGGAGAAAGAAAACAGATTTTTTTTGCTGAAGTTTTTGATGAACAAAATTAAATGGATTTTGTTATATGTAAACATATATATTTATTAATTCTTGGTTTGTGTTTTACAAGAAGTTTGTGCTTTATTTTAAGTGTTGTTTTGTGTTGTTGTGACTTTGCAGCACAGACTTCCAGAAGAATAATCCAGTTCACAAGCTGAATGATGAGGAGCTCCTGGCCTTCACCACGGTAAGACACGTTGTTATTCTCTAACAGGCCGCAGTGCAGTTGACACATCTCTTATCAGCACACACAGTTGTGTTTTCAGGCTGACAGATGGAGGGCATGCAAACAGGTCTCTCTCAATTGCTCACAGTTTAGCACCTATGTGTGTGTTTGCTCTAACAAATGCAAACAAAGGAAATGGTCTGTGGCTTCTGCTGTTGTGCTCCACAAAGATGAAAAGATGTCAATCTCTGGTCATTTCTGCTGCTCTGCTCAAATCTACAATGTATAGTTCTTCTCAAAAGTTGACATGCCCTTCGCAAAATCTCCAAGATGATTATCATTTTTAAATAAGCAAACATGAGGATTAGGAAAAGTTGATCAATTATCTCTCATGCCAAGTGCTGTCGGAATTTTAAATGGAAACCATTGGTTTATTTTTTTATACATTTTTATTATATAATGAATTTGAGAAAATTTTCACAGTATGAATAATAAAGTAATTATTAAATGCAAATCTTTTTTTCTTCTTCTTCAATTTTTTTTATTTAAATTGTATTTATTTTATTTAATATATTATTTATTTAGATTAATTATTTTTTGTATAATACCTTTAAAAGATAATTATGTCTTAAAAAATGCCAAAAAAGTAACAATAAAAAGATAACTACAACTCGAGACACATAGTTAATGTTTTTAATGGCATACGGTAACGTTTAATAAAAATACAGTTCATTGCTAGCTCAAGTTGACTCACGGTGCATTGCTTATGTTAACAAGCACAGTGTTGGAAATTATTAATTCATTAGTAACAGCTGAACTATGATTCATAAATGCTGTATAAGCATTTTACATTGTGTAAATGCATAAACTAACATTCACTACTTGTGTTGTAAAGTGTTATCATAAAAACACATCAAACACAGGCACATACACTTTACTGGACAATCATTGAAAGATATTAAAAACTCTATTTAAGGATCTCCTCGCAGCCTTGAAATACGAGTTACTTATCATTTGAAATGTTCAAACTTTGCCACTTTCCAAGTTTAAGTTTTCACCTATTTGCTATTAAGTTTTAATAATTTAAAAGTCAATTTAGTTTAATTGCTCATTCAATTATATATTTAGGTACAAAACCAAACATGTTTCAGTATATCTCTTACACAGAATAATGTCAGAACATAATAATTTGATATATATATATATATATATATATATATATATATATATATATAAAATTCACTGCATGTTTACATTCTTCCCCATGCTTTTGAAAAATTTCAATTATTTCTTGCAAACAACGTTGTTGATTTATCTGAAAACAACACATTAATTCCAATGTATGTACATGATGAATTCGAATGTACAAAATAGTTTTGCATACATTTTAAGTTATAATTTAGTAGAATGTATGAAAATAATGGACATCCATATCCTTCTATAAGAATGGGCTATTTAAATCCATGAGCTCAGCTGCTTAAGTCTTTTTCTCTCTGACATCTGTATACTATCGAAGATTTGACTTCCAGACTTTGGGATGTCAAAACGAGGGAGATTTATTATTTTGACATGTCTTTATATTTTCAAATGTCGCACTTTTTGACAGCCAGGGTGAGAATGATGGACAGATTGAAAACTGCCCGTTTCCTTTCGGCTCGTTCACTCAAATCTCGCCTTGCAGAGTGCAGAGTGAAAAACCATTCAAAACCTTAAACGTCTTCCTCAGATTTCAGAAAACAGAAAACACACAGAGCTAATGAAGACACTTCTCTGCCAGGAGGCCATATATTGTCTTCCTCGATAATCTTTAAGCCACTTCCTGTTAATTAAATTAGTTCTGTGTTTTAGCTGCTGCCACACACAAACAATCTGAGAAGCTACCCTGAGGGTCACTTCTTTTAATCTGCATCCCACCATTAAGATATGGTTGTTCTTATTAGCGACCCCTCAACTAAAGCCTTGCATATGTTCTGCTTAATCGATATGTGCCGGTGTGCTGCAAATGAAGCCCTGCGGTGGTGATGTGCCTGTAAACGCAGTCATGTGCTATAAACGACACTCTCTACATCTGCCGCTAACATCATTTTTAACCAGAAGCAAATTAGCATACAAAGAGTTTTTAAATCAGCAACCTGTGCCCAACAACAGCCTCAATTATTTAGCATTTGTGGACAGTTGGGAGTGATTAATGTCTGTTACAAATGTTCCAGACAGCAAAATAGAAGTACAAATTAGAGGTGCTATGATGAAGAGATTTTAGCGGATTTTATTTGGGGTGAGTGGGGTTTAGAAGGAGTCCTTGATTGGGATTTCACTCTTTTAGCTATTGTTAGCGTATAATGTTGCTGTGTGAGCATAAACTATATCAGACCCCCTAGTTTTTTGAGATTTTTGTGATCGCTGAATACAACGCAAAATTTACGCAACGCAAAAAAGTAGAATTTTTTTTTCGATCCTGCAAAATTCTTAATTTAAACGCAAATTAATTGCAAAAAAATTGAAATAATCTTGTAACACATTCAATTCCAAACCATATAATCACATTATATTTATTTCAGTTTGCAATGAATTGTTTTAAATGACTTATAGACGTTGCATGTGCACTGCACGTGATGTTCTTGGGTGTTTCTTGAAAAATGAAGTAAAGTCAATGCAAAGATGCGAATTTGTGTGCATTTGACACGCTTCAGACTGCAAAAGAATATGGGAGCATCAACTAACAAATGGAGCAATGGAATAAAAGCAAGCAGCTTATAATGGAGATTGGTTTAAGGATAATGGCTGCTGGACCTAACCGAATTGAAAGACATTATTTGTGGTTTACATGTATGGCTGGATTTATGATGTGTGTCAAATCGATAAATAATTCTTTCCCTACAGTTAACGAGCTAAAATGCTTCCCTGCCATTGACGAGTTTTAAGGAAATCCATGTTTTAGGTGTATTACAGTAGGGGAATCTATAACACATGTCCTGAGAAAGATATATGATGTCAAATGGTCCAGAGAGTGAAATCTGAGAGATAGAAAGCAAGATTGTGGATAAATATAAGAGTAATCAACTTTTCCTCTGGCTTAATCCTTACCGTTTAAGATCTTGTCGTGAATAAAGAAGCTTTATTTTTTTTTGGTTTGTGTTATTATCATTGTGTCAGATTACACACCTAGCGTAGTAGGCTACCTACAGTAATATGGTAAATATGATATAATAAGATGTAATTTTTCTGTTTTATCACAAAATTGTGTGCAAATTTCTGGTAATTACCACCACAAAATCAGTCATTTTCATCGCAAAAAGTCTGTTTTGAGGCCCGTAGCATGTGACTTCTTCATGGGGCATCAGAGTTTTAGTTGACCTGAAACTGCGGAGTAGAATAAAATGTGGAAAATAAATTGTGATTTAAGAAATCAAAACAAACAACATGAAGCAAGAACACAATACAGTTACCCATAAATAAAAACTAGCATTTGAAAATGGCTGACTTGACCGGGATCTTTTTATTGTAATGTAATGTTATTTACTGTTTCTCTTTTTTGAGTCAACCGGGATAATAAAAAAAATATTCTGTTCTGTTCTGTTATGTTGTATTGTATTGTATTGTATTATATTATATTATATTATAAGGATTTCAGTCATTGCGATTTTTATTTTGTTATATATTTTTACTTTTTCTCATTTTATCATGTAGAAAATAAGAAATTTTAGAGCATTTTCAAATGATACTTTTTTCTTTATATATTTCAATACCAGAATGGATTATTATTATTATGTTTATTAGTATTATTATTTTATTTTTATAATTTTTTTATTGTTATTGTTGTGCATGTTCTCCCTGCGTTTGCGTGGGTTTCCTCCGGGTGCTCCATTTCCCCCCACAGTCTAAAGACATGCAGTACAGGTGAATTGAATAAGCTAAATTGTCCATAGTGTATGAGTGTGAATTAGTGTATGGATGTTTCCCAGAGATGGGTTGCAGCTGGAAGGGCATGTGCTGCATAAAAACATATGCTGGATAAGTTTGCGGTTCATTCCACTGTGGCAACCCCAGATTATTAAAGGGACTAAGCAAAAAAAAAAATGAATGAATAATATTGTTGTATAAAAATAACTTAAATTATAAAATGGAAATTTAAGTTAGCAGTTAGCAATTAGTCTAAATGTGTCTGCGACCATTGAACATCTTTAGCTCATTTTCAAGGTTGATGTTTCAGCTTGTCCTCCTCCTCCATCGTTTTCTTCTTTTCTAATTTATACTTGGATAACTGCCCTAACCGTCTTCACAGACTCCCAATCTATTTGCATTCATTAGAAGTTGCCTTTCTGTGGCTCTCGGAGGACCTCGGCTGCTCCGCCTCGGTTCGCCGTTCAAAGCTTGATATCTTTATTTGTACGAGCAATGAAGCGAGTCCTCTACTCTTGTGTTTGACCGTGTACACTCCTCTCCAAAACACTCCCACGTCTTTGAATGAGGTCAGTTCTTTTCATGTGTTTTTGTGTTACGGCCAATTGCAATTTTCCCCAAAGTATTAAGTGACTTTCCTAGACAACTTTAACCTTTTGGAGGACATTTTTTCCCAGCTTTTTTTGACGAACACGTCTCATGGCCACGACGCTCAATGTTGGTGGTCTCTCCTTGAAATGAAACCCTCCTAATCAACACCTTTTCAGATCACAGGGTGTTGAGGAACCCAATTAGGTGTAGTACTGTGAAGTATGGCTCTCCATCTGTGGAAGGTTTGACCACGTCTGACAGCTTTTGGCAAACAATTCAAAGCCAACTCGAAAGTTTCAACACCCACCCCAAAGACGTCTCCGCCAGTCATCAGACATGCCAATCTCAGGCTAGCTGAAGGTACGAGGCTTTGACAGACAGGGTTGAATGGTGCGATGGATTGGAAATGAGCAGTAAAAAGGGAAAAATGTGTCTCTAGACTCTGTCCTAGAGGTTTGTGTCATATTCAGCAAAGCTGTTGGAGTCAAGTCCCTCTGGAAAAATAATCTACACTTCGAGCTGAGAGTTCA